CTCCACACAAAACACCCTGAGAGGGCAGGCGTCTCTCCCACGCCAGCCTGTGGGACAGAGGGTGCTCAGGAGGGAGGACATCCTGGAGCTTGAAGCATCTGTTACAGGAGTGTATCAAACAACTTCCTAGGAGGCCTAGGGTCCTCCTAGGCCTGTGAATGCTAAGGAAACACCCTTTTGTGGATACAACCATGTCCCTAGGATGACCAGCTTCTCCCTCCACTCCACGAAGGCAGAATTCACTCCCATCAGAGTGAACTTGCTGTGTTGTACAGTGTGCTCTTCACAGGGTGGACGCCAACACACACTTGCCCAAATAACGTCTACCATGTCAAGAAGACTGGATGACTCACTTCTCCAGAGAACTGGCAGCCCAATTATAAAGCTTACAAGTTTCTGAATACTAAGGATAAAGTAACCTTTCCTGCAGTGTCCACTCATCCAGGTACCATTACCTTTTCCTAAAGGCTAAGTGGTTTGAGAACCCCTCTTTATGGTAACATTTGTCTCAGAAACCCACAAAAATAATATTTTTAAACAAATACAGGCTGGATGCGGTGGCTCATGCTGGTAATCCCAGTATGAGAGAGGCAGAGATTTGGAGGATTGAGATTCAAGGGCAAAAAGTTATCAAGATCCTGCATCAAAACAGCAAGCCAGGCTTGGTAGTACATGCCTATAATCCCAGCTAATGCACAGGTAGAGGTAAGAGGATTGAGGTCCAAGGCCAACTCCAGGCAAAAGCATGAGACCCTATCTGAAAAATAAACTAAAGTGAAAAATGGCTGCAAGTGTGGCTCAAGTGGGAGAGTGCCTGCTTGGCAAGCACAAGGCCCTGAGTTCAAACCCCAGTACCACCAATATGTGTTTATTTATTAGGGTGCGTGCTCCTACCAACAGAAAGACAATTGTTGGGCATGGAGTCCCCAAAGCTAGACCACCAGGTGGCTTGCACCAACTCCATGGTCAGTTTGAGTCTGGCCTTGGACATGGAGTCACTTACCCTCTCTGGGTTTGTTTCCACATTGTATAAAGCAAGGACAAAAATACTCCCACCTCACGAAGCCAATGAGAAGACTGAGTGGATGAATATACACCGGGTCCTGAACTGTCTCATGGAACAAGCAGCCAAAGTGACCAGCAGCAGAGCAGGCAGGACACGGTCAGTGTCCCCTTCTGAGCTCCCTGGCCTCTGTGCTCCCTGGCCTCTGAGCTCCCTGGCCTCTGTGCTGGCTGAGTCCTGACTGGGTTCTCTCATCTGCGTCCCTACCTAGGAACAGGTGAACCCTGCGTACTTGGAGTCAGTAATGGTGGTCACATTTCCCAGCAGGCCTTTCTTCTCTCTGGAGGGAAGACACAATGAAGAGAGCATTCAACTTCCTGGGACAGACATAGCTCCAGGAGACAGAAGGACCATCGCAGACTGGTGCTTGACCATGCCAGGGAGACACTGAGACCATCAGCCCTGCAGCCACTGCAGTCTATTCTTGGACTCTAAGGAGGTTATAGTCTTACTGGTTAAGCTGTTGGATACTTCCTTTCCTATTTGCATTTGTTAATATGCTAATTTATGCATGAACACTCTAATTCCTGGGGGCTTTCCTAGGTGGGAATATTAAGTTAAGTAGAAATATTCTTGTGTCACATGTCTCCCCCAGGAATTCTGCAAATACTGTTTCCTTTCCACTGTACAGTGTAAAGTCACCATAAGGACAGCTACTGCCAGCCAGGTCCCCCCATCTTTTCTTGAGGTCCAACCATGCGTCCAAGCTAACACCTGGCGTTGGCTGCTCCGTATCAGTTTTTCCTGGAACATAGTGAGAATTTTTATCTGCAGACTTTTAGTTCAGAAATGTTTCTGTGTATTTCCAGAGGAAAAACCCCTAATGTTGAAGCTCTCTTTTACAGTAATGGTAACTAACCCTTTTTCACTACTTAAATGTCTCCATCCTTCCCCTCTACATCCACTGAAGCCGATTCAAGCCTCACCTCTAAGTCAGTAATCCTGCTGAGTTGCGTCCGGTCTGTTTCTGGGCTTTCTGTTTGAACCGTCTCTGAACTTCATTTGATTTCCTGGCTATGTCACCTTTTTTCCCTTCTCTTCTGTTGTTTTACATTCTCTCCCACCTCTTCTTTTGTTAAACTGATGCTCTTAGTTCTTGTGTATCATGGAGCCAGGGTAAAGAATTTTCTTCTTTCATTTGGTTGTTTCTTCCAGATGATGTCTTCATCGTGCCAGAATCTGTCTCATGCTAGAATTCTTTTTTCCTCTTCTGTTTCCATTAGAGATTTGGACAATGCTGTTTATTTCTGTCATATTCATGGGTGACATGGGCTGCCCTTGGCATGTCTTTTGTTTTGGGACTCTGATGTGGCCTGTTTCTCTCTGACACCTTTTGCTGTATGTGACCCAGACTTACAGTGCTGTCTGCTTCTCCAAAGCCTGAGGACCTCATTCCACTGGTGTCTGGACTCAGCCCTCTCTTCTGAGATTCCAGAAAACTTACCACCATGCAACCTTGCTAAGAGTGAGTCCCCACTCCTGTGACCCAGTGCTCAGGGACCCACTGTGAATCTCTGCCTCCTTCGTGCACATCCTAGAAGACGACAAGCTTGGGGCTTTTCCCACCCGTTCTACAGGTGTAGGTCCAGGATGGGATTAGGCTGGAGGTAGCTTTCCCCCTGGATTGTGGTGCGCTGACCCCACTCGCCCGTTCATCTCACTTCTTTTTAGATTCCTGCCTTGTTTTCAGGGAGCAGTACCGATGAGAATTCTTGGTGCCTTTCCTGGCAGGGCTTTTGGAGGCTGCTGTTCACCGGGTACAGGTTTGAGATTTGTGGCACGTGCTTTCTCCATTATGTGGGGAGCGTGTCTGTGGTCTGTCCACAGTCCATCTGTCGTGTTTAGCGAATGTCCTGTCCACGCTCTTCCCACCTTCCTAGTCCTAGACATGCGCCCATGGGAGCTGCAGATTCTTTCTAAAGTTTGCAAACAAATCTCAGCAATCACTAATGGTGAAGAAAGAAAAGCAACGAAAGCAAACACCCCCAGCGACTTACTGACAGCTGGCGTCCACACCGCAGCTGACCCGCACCCGCAGGGAGCATCGTGCACCGGGCCTGGGTTCGGATCCTACTCACGCAGCCCCAGGAGGGCAGCGGCTGCCCTGACCTGTAGCCCCAGCACAGATGCCCAGAAGAGCGTTGAATGAATGAAAGACTGTTGCGCCCACTCTGCAGATTGGAAGACCAGAGACTGACGCCAGGAAGGACCTTGCCAAGGAGGACAAGCCGAGGGGATGAAAACCCGGAGATCTGGAGGGACCCGGGCGGGCGGGGTGGGCGCTGCTCACCACTCTCCCGCCCCGCCCCCTCCAGGCCCGCAGCGTGTAGCGCGCGGTTGCCACGGAAACAGGAGGGGGCGGCGCAGGCGTGCAGCGCGCTGGACGGGCGCGCAGAGCGGCACTGCGCAGGCGTCGCGTCCCCGTTGCTAAGGCCGCAGAGCCAAGTTAAGTCCCCTAGCCTGGGGTCCCCGTGCCTGCGCGCTCCCGGCCAGTGCAGCGACACACTCACCCCCCCCCGCCCCCGAGCCTTTCCCTGCCCAAGTGAGAGGCTATCATCCACGGTCCCTGTCCTCCTCCAGAAGAACTTCCAAACTGTGGACACCCGTGCCGGTGTCCCGATCCCTGTAGTCCGCCAGCCTTCGGAGGGCAAAGGAAGAGTTTCCCTGTGGGCGAAGGAAAGAGGGAAAGTAGTCAACCATGTCGAATGCGTAAGTGATGGGCTATCATCCAGAGCCACGGGGTCGGGCTTCTCCATGCCCAAAAGTGTCTGCTTCTTTCCTCCTCTCTTCTCCTCTCCTGTCCTCCTCTCCCTCCACCTCCCCTCCTCCTCTTCACCTTTTAGCAAATTCGATGTGCTTCAGGATGGAGTGTCCACTTCTTGTGAACATGAGACGCTTAGATCTCCCCGCTACCCCCAGAAGTTGCGCTCCGCCAGGCCCTCACTTATGCCCACCGCCCCGTGCTGAGGATGGGTGGGAGGCTTTCCTGTTCATCGCCCCCAGTCCGGTGGTTCTCCACAGGGTCCCCACCATCACACCGCATGCACGGCGCCATACAGTTACCTCCTCTGGTCTTAAAACAAGCCCTTCAAGCCCGCGCTGAGCTGCTGGCTCTAGGGCTCTGTTCCTTGACGTCTTCACAGCCTTTGGGTGACATTATTTCCATTTTACCCAAGAGGAAGCTGAGGAAGAAGAAGCTGAGGTACCAAGAGGGGAAGCTGTCACAAAGATGGGGAAACAGACACTGCAGCTCCACTCCTACCCTGTCTGGAGGGACCCAGCTCAGAGAGGCTCTGGGCTCTCCAGGCTGGTGGGCGGAGATGAGTTGAGTTGGGGACATTGCGTATGAAGTGACATCAATGGAGATCAGGTGCTGTTGAATGCTGAGCTCTTGGGTCTGTACAGAGGTCTGTGCATGAAATAATAACTTGGCAGTGTGGGCAGAGGGTGGTCTTTATGTGACAAGGAATGAGTGTAGATAAGAGAAGTGACAAGGATAAGCCTTGGGTCACCCAAAGTAAGAGGCAGGGAGAAGAGCAGATACCAGCAAAGGAATCAAAGCAAATTTGGGGGTGCAGTGCCCTGGAAGCCAGGTGAGAAACGGTGCTTCTAGAAGGAGGGCAGACCAATTCTGTCAGCTGTTGCTGGGATGAGTTGGAGAAGAACAGAATATTTCTGATTTACCTAAGCAGACCCAGTGACCTTGACAGGACTGATTCAGTGGAGTGATGGGGTGGGGGGATAGTTATTCAGACAGAGCGGGAGGAGAGAGGGGGACATGGAAGATCAGTAAGCAGCTAAAGAAGTTTCCCTGCAAAGGAAAGGACGTGGGTGGCTGGTGGCAGGGGACATGGGAGACGAGCTCTTTTTAAGACAGGAAAACAACAGCCTGTTCATTCACTGAAGTGAACAAACCAGCAGTTAAGGACATCAGAACATGTCAGCAGAGGAGAGGAGGTCTGTGCCACCCTCAGGAGGATTTGAGGACGTGGGTAGCTCCAGTACCAGCATTAGGTGCAGGAGCTTGGTGTTTACCCACAGGAAGGCAAAGTAAAAATGGTGTTCAGTGGGGAGATGAGCGGGGGGCCAGGAAGATGTTGGTGGGTGGAAGAGGACAGTGACATTGAAGGCAGTAATGACCACACCTGATGACATGGGACTCAAAGTGAGGGGGACTTGGGAAGAGTGGTCTGACGAGTGGGCACAGAGCCATGGGCAGAAGATCTGGGGCAGGAGGACTCGGGGTGGAGGGGACAAGAAGAGCGCCTCCCTGCAGCAGGACAGTGGAGGGAGCATTTGACAGGAGTGACAACGTAGGTGACAGGGAGGAGCGGAAGGTTCATCATGTGTGAAGTGACAGAAAATTCCTATCTTACGACATCTAGATTTCCCATGGAAGCACACAGTCCCTCCCTCCCCAGCCTAGCTGTAGAAATAATCTGGTTTGTTTCACCTGTCTCACTCCCTCCTCAGCCACCACACCGCCTCCCTGTGTGGGTCTGTCACTTTTCCAGGTCACATGCCCAAGTGTGAAATTATTCAAATCTTTTTTAAAGGTTAAGCAGTATCGTGGGTAAAATAAGGCCTCCCTTTACAAGGTGCATGCGAGATCCCAGGAGCACCTCCACATCTGCTCTGTTACCCTGCCCTACAGTAGCTTTCTGAGGTGTCCAGAGCAGGTGTCATCCGGGCTTGCCATGGGAGGAGGTGCGGGCCCAGGAGGCCCGGGACCCGTCTGAGCTGAGCGTTTTCAGAAGGAGGTTTGCCTAACACCTTCGGCACGTCCACCTGTAAAAAAGAAAAAAAAATCTTGCCGTAACCAGAAAGTCAAAACACGTCCACACCAAAACTTCGGCAGGGTTTTCATGACAGCGTCTTGCACGGCACAAAGATGTTGTCTTGTCCGTGGTCTTGGCGACTTCCTGCTGCTCTGACCCTGGCTGGAGCTGACTCATGAGTTTGTTCATCCTGTGCCAGGCTGCCCTGGCCAGCTCTCCCCGTCACAGTGCCCAGCCTGCTCGAAGCCTTCTTCCTCTGGGACCCCGGTGGAAGCAAGCGCCTCCTCAGCCCCCGAGCCCTTCCTCACTCTTGATGGGTTTGGTCTCCGTGGAATTAACTGGTTTTTTAGGTAAGGTCTCAGGTTTTTGTCCAGGCCAGCCTGGACAGTGATTCTCCTAGTCACATGTCATATGCTCAGGTGTCCTTCCATGTAGCTGGGATTACAGGCATGGCCACCATGCCTGGCTTTATTCCTATTTTTGAGGGCACATTTGAAGTAACCCTGGTGAAGATGAATTTGTCTCGGCTTTAGCATTTGTGGAAGTCATCCTTGTCTGTTCCTTGATATGCACACAGGCTTTTTGACTCAAGTGTGGGTTGTTAGTTAAAGTTCCCTGAGCACCTCCTGGTGTCTATGGTAATTAGCTGTGGTTTTACTGTTCAGTTGCTCTGCGAGGTCAGGGGTTCCCAGGTGTTGAGCCTTGGGCATTCCTGGGCTCCCCATTCTTTGGTTAGAGGGAACCACACTTTAGATCTGGCTCTGAGTCTTGTTTATAAGTGGAATTTCAGGCCAGCGTGCTAAACAAAATTAGCCTGGACTTTTTTTCTTCTGTGTTGTCCTGACAGGTTTGGGGCAAAGCCCTTCTTAAATGTGTAAAACCAACTGAGCACTGTTTGTGTCTCTGTTCATCACTGTGGAGCCTTGTGGGTACCCATCAGCCTCTGCCCTCTCAGGACAGCAACTACCCTGGCTTGCGGTCCCGTCTCAGATTCTGGAAGCCTGGGCCTCTTCAGTAAACTAACACCCTGCTGGCCTTGTCCTCTTCGTGGTGTTTTGTTGTACAAAGCCTGTACCTCACCTCTGACTTCAACGTCTCTGCTTCCTCCTGCTCACTCCTGTTTGCTTATTTTTGTGAGGCATGGTTTGCAGAGTGCCAGAATATTCCTTTCAATAGTTAACAAAATGTTGTTCTTGTTGCTTTGTGAGGTAGTCATTTGCATTCCTGCTTAGTCACACTATTTGCCACTAATTATGCCAGGAATGAACTAGCCCGTTCTCCTTTACGATAAGGTAATCTAGCAGAGTGCTGGCTGTGTCATCTAAATATTGCTGAGTTTGAAAAACTCTAGTGCTTGAACACCCTGGGGATGGAGCACCCGGGCCCAATTCAGCATCTTAAGTCAATATGGGATGAGGGGAGGGAGAGTTTTGGGTTTGGAATCACGCAGTCTTTGTTTCTTGTGGTGGCCATCACATCTGTGCCCTGTGACTTGTCGTCCCTTGTTTACTGGACAGGAAATGGTGAAGTTTAGTGGTCAGAGCCTGAGGTCTGGAGCAGGACTGCCGAGGTGGTGCAGGTCCTGTGTCAATCTTAGGACTTTGGGCAATAACTTCAGTGCCTCGGTCTCCTCATCTGTCAGTGGCACTCACCTTATAGAGGTAGCGTGAGGATTGTGTGTGCCAGGGCACATAAAGCACTCAGGACCATGGCTCACACTGTCATAGTCATCTGAACCTAAAAACCTGCTCCCGTCAAGATGCACATTTAATGTTTGGCCAGAGAGATGAAAACAGCAAATGGAGTGGTGCTTCATGGCCTCAATAAGGGATCATTGAGATTTTATCAGTCACCAGGATGTCCCAAGCATGTTTGAGGGCCAGGTGGGGACCCTAGGCGGGGCACACCTGGAGGGGAATGCTTAGTGATGGTGTCAGGATGAAGGTCAAAGCGAGGCAATGAACCTGTGTATTTACCTCCACTTCTCCTGAGCGACCTCTCAAATGTCAATAAAGGTATAAAAGGCTGAGCTCGTGAGGGCGAAGAAGACACCTGAGCACATGACAGGCGCTATCATGATCCAGGCACCGGTGGTCACACCTGTAATCCTGTCTACTCAGGAGACAGAGATTAGGAGAATCAAGGTTCGAAGTCATCCTGGGCAAATAATTCGAGAGACCCTATCTCAAAAAAAAGTTCACCACAAAAAAGGGCTGGTGGAGTGGCTCAAGGTGTAGGCCCTGAGCTCAAACCCCAGTACTGAAAAAAAACAAGAGCTATGATGAAAACGAAAACATGACAGAAGGGAAGAGACCAGGCAAGAGGAGAGGAAGCAAGCAGGGAGTGTGGGTCTGCCTGGCAGAGGTGAAGCCAGGTCCTTCCGACAAGTCCACAAACAGAAGACTGGTTGTAATCCACATTGGGGGTGAGGGGAGTGACTGCTACTCTTACTTGTCGTGCAGACAGTGGGGGCCAGGCACAGGAAGCTTGGGGTAAGCTACCAGGCAGGCAGCCCAGGGGGACTGAGTCCTGGGCCCCTCAGCCCACAGTCTTCTCAGTCAGGGGATGGACTGTCCTCTCCCTCAGCACAGGGAAAGATCTTAGAAAGAGTGGGAAACAGTGGTCACTACCCAGCACCCAGCCCTGTGCAGAAACCCCTGCCCAGTTGTGCTGGACTTCCAATTCTCCTTTCAGCCCTAGGACAGCAGGGACTGTCTGCCATGATTGCATTGGTCAGGTCCCAGCAAGACATGCAGGCACACACAGAGGGCCTATTAAAGAGCCCAGTGACAAAGGTCACTGGAGTGCAGGGAAGCCAGCAGGGATGGCAGCACGTCCTAGGTTTGCCTTTGGTGGAAGGGTTCCCCAGGCCTCTGCTGGCCTTCCAGGCAGCAGTGGGACAGGACACACCTCACCCAGTTCCCCACTCTCCAGCTCCCTGTCTGTTGTTCTCCTGTCTCAACCCACTGGAACGAGGCCCGGGGGTTGCAGGGGCAGGTGGAGGGGGTCAGCCTGAAGCCATTCTCGGCATTGTTTCTGGGGATGACAGTTGGTGACTTTAGCTGAAGTCCATTCACACGTGTCTCACTAGTGTGTGAAGTATACTGCAGTTGATGAATATACAATTATTTTTCTGTCCTCTTGCTAAGGCACATTTGGGACAATTCTACATTTTTGCCATTATAAAAAGATACAGCCATAATCATCCTTGGTACACTTGAAAGTGTTTCTCTGGAACGTAATCATTTATTCGTACACACTGAACTTCACAAGACAATTTCAAAGTACTTCCAAAATTGTGGTTCCAATTTACACTCTACCAGCTATGTGTATGCACAAATAAGTCGATTATTCTGTGTATCAATTACTTCACTGCTTCAATTAGTATAATACTGACTTCACAGGTATGGTGAGGAAAACTACATCATTTAGGAAAATACTTTTTAAACTATTTGATAATAGTACCAGTGGTCATTTCAAAAACCACATATACATTAAAACAGAACATAAATTATCTTAAGAACATTGTGGCCACTTCCAGTGTCCTGGGCTCACACTTGACTGTGCGTTATATTTTGTGATGATGGGTGGCCAATATGTGTGCCTAACAAGATGAATTGGTTTGCTAGATTGTCTGAATTCTGTGTCTCCCCTCAGAATGTATAACAAAATGTGGCACCAGACCCAAGAAGCCCTTAATTCTTTGCTTAATAATGAGTCTCAGGAAATGGTGGAAGCACAGAGAAACCAAGTTTTCATCTTCCAAATGCTGGCCACCTTCTACATTAAATACGTGCAGATCTTCAGGAACATGGAGAATATCTATGACCAGATGGTCCATCCACAAAAGCGGATACTCATCCGGAAGATCCTGGATGCTGTGATGGGTCGCATTCTGGAGCTGAAGAATGAAATGGTTGAATTGGAATTATCTGAGTTTCATTATTTTGATGATGTTTTACAGGATCTAAAGCTGGCTCCCGTAAGTATTCTGTTGCAAGTTCCCTTTTGTTGTAAATAAGATACATGGGCCTGTGCCCAACACACTTCCCACACATGTTTACTTACAAGTTGTTTGGTGTATTACAAGTCTAAACATTGCCTTTAAATCACACCATGCTATCATGGAAGAGGCGCCTTTCTGATGCACAGGAATCTATTACCAGTCCTTGGGCCAAGACACTGGGGTGTGGTCTTACCAGGTGCCATGATGCCTGCCAGGACTCCTAAATATCCTGCATCTCAGGCCTCCAGCTTCCCAGAGCGGCACCTTGTTCTCTGGGTCTGTTTTCCCTGTCATCACCCCTGGATGGTTACCTGTTGGTGCCAAGTCTTTATTCTCAGATGGATACACCTCCTCCTTTCTTTGGGTCATTGGTGACTCCATGGATTTGTGGCTATGGGCCTTGTGTTCTAGATACCAAAGAAGGGTATGCCCTCTATCTCCTCCCTTGGTCCCTCCCCCTTAGCACCTAGTGACCACAGCACCCTTCTGAGGGCCTTCAGCCAGCCACTGCCCTTCTCACCTTGCTGCCAGACACCTGCTGGAACTTTCTTCTGATTCTCTGTGTGGTTAGTCCTGCCAGGGGCATTAGACACCTCACTTCTTAGTGGCTACTGGTCCTATGAACACACCTTTCATTTTGAAAGGTATGTTTCCCTAAAATCAAATTAAAAGAACATGTTTAATTTTTTACATGCTGTTTCATGTTCCTTCACTTTGAAAATGTGTTGGCTTTTATAAAAGTTCTGTTTCTTTCTGGGATGGACTCTCCTAGTACTGTTCCTTGGTTTTATCGGGATGTACGAAAAGAGAGGAACTGAAATGGATGAAAACCCTGGATATCATTCCAAAGCTCGTATGCTTGCTGCATTCATTTGTCAGAAGTGAATTAAGTCACTACATTCTTTAGTCAGGTGTACTTTAGTCACCCATGTGAAAATATGAAGAACAACCAAGGATAAATGGGATACAAATATTTATTAACTTATTCTCCTAAATTTAATTAAAAAGGTGATATTATAATTATAAATGTAATTTCAAGGATATTAGATGATCCCTCAATATAAGGACTAGTAAGTTTATGGGATCTATTGGTGGTCTCCTTCCATTTTTCTTGCTGTTCACACTGCCTGGCTGACTCTCTGTTTCGGCTACTTGTCTTACTGAAGGCCAGGGGCTGTGGCCATCTTGACAGAGTCATGGAGAACTGGGGAGGTGACAAGTGAACAAACATCAGCCAGGAAGCCTTCACTGCCTTCACTGGAGGGGATGCTATAGGGACCCATCAGCCATGTTTTCTACCAGTCCTGACTGGAAACAGTGATGGAGCCGTGCGATGTTAGTGAAGTTCGCGTGGCCAGGGGATGCATCCAGCATGGCCAGAGAGACACTTGTGAGCCAATCCTGGGAACTTCTATCCATTGGGGTGGAGGTGGGGGGCAAACCTACTGGCATCATCTGTGACTCAGCCTCTATGGCTGTCACACATGAGGCCCACAGCTCCCCGCTGATTAGTTGGCTATTTATAGGTAGGATCCTGTGTCCTGACCATAGTGATTGATCCAGAAGGGGCACCCATGAGGCTGCACCAGTCAGTCCCTCCATGAGAGATACTGAAATCAAGCCAAAGGAAGCAAGACCAGCCCTGTCTTGGGTTCTGAACTGTAGTCTCCCAAACTGCAAAGTTGAACCAGAAGCTCTGAAGAATGGAAGAAGTCATTCTTCAGAGACAAAGAGGGAGGGCAAGCCAGGAGAAAAGACAAAACAATGAGAGAAGCAAAAGTAAATGGCAGAGCCTTAAAGACATATTTATCCCTGTCCCTTGGTTCCACAGGGTCCCCAAAGTCCTTCCATAAGTACCCTCTTTGGACTCAACTAGCCAGAGGACTGTTTCTGTGGCCTGTCCTGACAGGCTCTCCTAATGCAGAGACACACATAGGGGAGAGAGGTTTTTCCTTTACCAGAAGGCTCCCCAGTCCCACTCCATAGAGAATGGGAAGCCCGCAAGTATCCAGGTATTATGATGGATATGTGGCAGCTCTTCCCCTGGCTTCAGTTCTCAACTGCTCTGTTTCCTCACCCTCCTAACTGTAAAATCCTAACTATAGTTTCAAGGTCCTAAATGGACCCGAAGGGAGCCATGTCAGTAAAGTGTTATCTTAAAAACTGGAAAAGTACAATTCTTGGACGTGTTATTAATAGCATGACTCCTCTCTGGCTGCCCTCTATCCACAGGGCACACTTGTCCACTGGACCCTGGCAGCTTCCCCTCAGGTCACGCCAAGCCCATTAGTCTAAAGAAAGTTTGATGTCTCAGAGCTACAGACACCTCCCAGAGGTCCGGGGATACTGTCCCTCCAAGTCCTAAAAATGATGCCCCTTTATGCTTTAACACTTCCTTAGGAGAATTCCTATCCAAAATTCCCTAGGGATCAGGGGAAGATGGAGAGAGTCACACCCTGAATTGGAAAGGGAAGCTGACTCTGAAGGCAAAACCCTTGCTTCCTGAGATAACTGGTCTACCAGGAAGCAGCTGGCATGTCTGAGAGTGTCTGGGATAAGGTTTCTCAATAGGACCCTTGAAAAGCACTTCTGTACTCCTGATTGTTTAACTTGGACTAACAAATATTCATTTACCCTCCACTAATCTGAAAAACTTGCTAATACACATGAGTGAAGAACAGATGTTTATAGTTATTATATAAAAACAAATTACCTAATAAAGCCAATTAACTTCACAGATAATTTTTGTAATGGATCATTTTGGTAAAAATAAAACTGAATTATTACAAAAAATTATTCCCATTTATATACAAATGTTGATGGTGCTCATGATTAATTATTAGATTTATTTCAAAGACCTCAGTAGCCAAAAACTTTGTCTTGTGTGATTATTTTAGGTAGGCTGAGACCCTATTATATTTCCTTAAATTCACGAAGTAATCATGAGTTAATAGTTAATTGAGGTCTAGTGGCCATAAATTCCTAAGGTTTTACTGTAATTCTCAAAACAAAAGACAGAGCTGCAGTTTTCATTTTGAGAATTCCCTGCACTCTATTGGCCTCACCACCTCTTAAATGTGAATGAAGGTAAATTTAGTCTCCAATGTGTTTGTCCTTCCTATGTATTTTACCTGGATTTGAGTCCGGAACCATGAGCAAAATGTTCTTTTGCCTGTTCTTTCTCTTCTCTAGCAACAATTAGATATTCCCATACCCAAGTACTTCTTGAAGGAGAGGTTGGAAGTAATAAAAGAAAGAGAGAAACTCCTCGCTCAGATACTGGCCGACAGTGGATTGAATGTACATGATGTGGTTTGTATCCTTCTAACAACCATTGTTTCATAACTTACAGAACTTCCTTTCTTTGCTGCTCCTGATTGTGTGAGATGCGATTAGATTGTTTCAATTTGAGGGAAGATCACCCTCTCCCTTGCTACTGCAGTGTATAGAAAGTGGAGTAACTCTTGCAATGTGGTTTTGGTGATGCTTCTTCAGCACCTTTCAAGAGCTGAGAACTAGACATGAAAACATCTTGCTTTGTGGGTTAAATGGGAATGTCTAAGACTGAGTTGATTATCAGCTCGACTTAGTTTTTCCTCACAAATTCACCTAGCTAAAGCCAAGCCAAATATTGTTCATATAAAAAAAATTAAGTGCCAACATAACTTCCTATGAACTTGAAAATCAGCACATTTTCTCAAGCACCCATTGGCCTTCCAGCACTTCCAGATGAGTCATTTGGATCACATGAAGGAAAACAACCCTGTCCTAGAGAGCAAGGTGCAGGATCCCGCCTGCTCTCCAGCCCGGCCCTCCTATCCCCTGTGTTTGTGCAACTCCACCTTCTCCTGCTCTCACGGCTGTCTTACACTCCCACACTCCCTGAATTCTGGCAGAAGTCTCCCACGCAGCCTCCCTGTCAACCTATGCATTTCAGTGACTGTCAGGGCCTATGAAATCAGTACCTCACTCCCCTGGTCCTCACTGCCCGGGGAACAAGGAGCACTCCACACATCCACTCTTCCTACAAACAGGCCCCACTGGGTGTTGCCAGCCTGGGTGATGGTATCAAGGAAGATTCCAGGTGCACGCAGGGAACGGCAGGGGCAAAAGTGCCCTGTCTGCTTGCCACAGGGCACAGGTGAAGCACACCTGTCTCAGCTAGCCTGGCATTATCTTTCCTTTTACATACCAGAGCCTTCTGATGAAGACAGGCGTGTGCTTCTGTCTTACCTACCTTCCTGTCAAAATGGAACCAACTTGATACAGCACCCTTCCAGAAACCTTTCAAGAACCCCTCCCCCGAACTCTGGCAAGCCACTTTCCTCAACATGGCCTGTTGAGGGGGCTGCTGGGGGAAGTTTAACTGAGGGACTGTCAGTCTCTGTTCCCAGTGTCCTGGCAATTGCTAACCATGGGGACATGTGTAAGTCACTTTATCTCTTTGAATCCCCCATCACTTCAGTGGTCATGACAGGACCTGCCTCGGAGGTTGCTTTTGTGAATTTAATGAGCACACACATGAGGGGCATCTGGCATGTAGGTTCTCAGCAAACCTTCCCTTCCCTGTCCTTCTCTCATCTTCCTGTCCTTCTCTCATCTTCCTGTGCCCCTCCCCACCTTGTAACACAGAGAAGATTGCCCTGAGAGGCAGGGACCCAGTGATGAGTGCAGCGCCCACCCTTAAGGCCCCCGTACCTTGCATCTCATCCTGACATGGCGGCCTACACTGCCCTTGAGGCCTGGAACAGGCCTCAGCCTGTGCTAGCTGCTATTCTGATTCCAAGGGCCTCACCTGCCATGGACACCACACCCGCTAGCACCCCCCCCCACCAGCCAGGTCACACACACAGCTCCTTCCTTGCTCTTAGGACAGCAGTGAGTCCTCACCCCTGAGTCCACTCACACAGGCCTCTGGGGCTCCCAGAGACCTTACTTTTTTTCTCAGTTTCCCCTAAAAGTCTAGCCCCTAACCCGACTGTCCCCACACACCTGACCTGAGTGAGATCCACATCGTCTGTTTCACCGCTGTGAAATGCAAATGTGTCGGTACTGGAAGATAGTCCACATATACAATTAAATGCTCCTAGAATGATTTTAACATCAGTCATACTCAGGAAGGTCAGTCTGAACTGCTTTTAAACTTGTAATTGAAACACATTTTAACTTCTTATATTAGAGCTGTGTTTTAATTTCTGTTTCTACCATGAAGTAACAAAGGATGCAATGGCAATTTCAAGTTTTATTGATTGCATTTTTTTGATATTTCTAATATAACTTGCTGCAGACTAAGATATCTGGGCGTTAATCGGTATTTTGTTTGAAAGGAGAGCGGTCCTTAAACTTGGAATTGCAGCTCCAGCAGGGCATAGCATCAAAATGTGCGTAATTCACTGAGACGCAAACGCACCAGGAGGCCGCACACCGCACCCCGCCAGGGGCTCCCAACACCGTGTGTCAGAAGTGGGCCAGCGATATTTCTGAGACCGGAGGATGTAGTTAACATGTCTAAACACTGATGTCCCCGTTCTCTGCAGAAATACTTAAAGAGCATGTCCCTGGATGAGGCTATTAAAGTCATCCAGATTGCTGAGCGGGCCCGGCAAGGCCGTCTGAGAGCGCTGTTCATGAAGCAAATCTACCTTCAGGAATTCAGAGCAAAGCAGTCCAAGATGCGTGGGGAGAAGGCCGACAGCACTGCCGCACTCCAGATTCAAAAGGTGGGAAGGGGCTCCAGGGACAGGGCCAGGGCGTCTTACCTGGCCAGAGGTGTGTTCCTGCTTCGGGGCTGAGAGCTGAAACTCAAAACGTTTGGTAGAGCTGGACTTAGATAATAAATTCCAAAAAGGTTTAACTTACCCTGGAGAAACCATTAACTAAACTTGGTCACATTTCCAATGTTTCACCCTAAATGGACATCAAACAACGGGCCTTTTATTCAATGCTAGAAAGAATGTTGCTAAAATTCAGTGAGGGTATGAATCTTTAATGACACAGACAAAATTTCAAAAGAGATGTGGGAGAATTAATACCTGGTAACTTGCAGAAAAGTAATCCATTTAAAAAAGTCCAGTGGCCATCACTAAGAACCAGAGCACTGGCGTTCTTGGGCCACTCCTTGTCAGAGGAACAGCACTGACGGGTACCCCATCTGTTTTCTAATGGTGCCTAGGGCTACATGGAGGAAAATGACAGGATGGTAACACAGAATTAGGTTTAAGAGAAAATAAGTATCCAGACTTAATATGGAGCCAGAAGAGCAGACTCCGTCTCTAATTATTCTTGACTGGGTGTGGGAGAGGAAGGTGGGAGGGATGGACAAGATTCTTTTCTTTCTAGTTTCTGTGGGGTTAGAATAAAGTTTCAGCATCTGAGTTAAAAGGTTGAATTGTACAATTCTTAGACACTTCTGTGTACTATTTCCCCGCTGTTACTTTGGAAATTTTTCTTGTAAAACCAGAAAGTTGCCACCCTGAGATCTTAGCCTGGCACTTCTGCCATCTAGAGGTTTCTGGAGCTTCACAATTGAGAGCTATGGTCACTTCTGTGGGTCACCCTTTCTTAACAATGTTGCCTGTGCTCACAGCATGAAAAGCTATTCCCTCAGCGCACACGTGCACAACCTCTACGACATCTGGGATGTGCAAATGCACCTGGGAGAAACTCCAGGCCAGCATTTGCTTTAGTTTGGCTTATGCATTAAACAGTAAATATGAATTTGATTTCAGATTTGGCGAACTTACTCTCAATTCAAGAAAACTGAAAGAGAAAGAGAAGCAGAGATGATTTTCCTGGGTATGGTAAGTTACCTTACACCCACAACCCTGTTTCTTAAAGACAATCACTCTGTAAGATGAGTGTCTTCTCTACAGGGTTTTTGAGGGAAGAAAGGAAGGCAAAGCAGATGACTCAGGAGAATGGAGGTGCCAGTACTGTGCAGAAGCATCTAGGGGTTCGGGAGAGGTCAGGGTTGACCCCTTTACGTGTCTCTGGGTGAGATGCACCGTGCTCACAGGCTCACGGGATCGCCATATGCTATTCCTGTCTGCTGTCAACAGCGGCTTTCTTGGTATTTATGGCCAAGAAAACGGGTTTGCTTTGATACAGCTGGCGGGGGGAGGGGATCTCCATGATGATTACTTAAATCACAGAGTTGAAAGGCTGCGCTACTTATCTGTTGCCAAACAGCAATATTATCACAAATTTAGGAGCTTAGATCGACACCCACTTGTACATCACAGTTTCTGTGGGCCAGGATTGAGCCCAGCTTAGCTGTGCTCTCTGCTCAGGGTCTCACACAGCTGCAGTCAGAGTGTCAGCCAGGCTGGGGTCCCAGCTGAGGCCCACCTGGAGAAGATCCGCCACCAAGCTTGAGTGACCATTGGCAAGGTTCTGTTCCTTGTGGGCAGTCAGATTGGGGGCCTGAGTTCATTGCCAGCTGTCAGATGGAGGTAGCCCCATCTCCTGGCCATGTGGGCCACCTGCTTTGTCAAAGCCAGCAAAGGACAAAGGACACCCACAGTCTTGTGCAAATCATCACAGAAGAGGCACCTTTGCCCTGTCTTATTGGTTAGAAGGAGGTTATAGGGCTGCCCACACTCAGGGGGAGATTACGCCAGGGGTGAGGACCAGGAGGCAGGGCACAGGAGACCACCCTAGAGTTCTTAGGTTCTTCTGCACAGTCCACATGGTCAAGTGTGAGGCCCTAAGGAGGCCTGCTCACCCTGAGCACAGAGCCCCTGCCTTCCAGGGCAGCCCATCCTGCGTCATTTTCAAAGCTCCTGCTCCTTTAACTGGAATCCACCTCCCACAGACCCAGCTGACCTACCCAGGCTAGGTCCCCTGTGGAAGCTCAGAATGCAAATTACTTCTTCTCTTTTGCATACATTAATTATACAAAGAGGTTTCATTGTGATATTACCATAGATGTCTACAATGTACTTTGATCAAATTTACCCCTTCTGTTATACCTGAACCTCCCTCTCTCCTCCCCCTTTTTCAAACAGTATTTTGTGGGTTTCATTATACTGTCCCCATAAATGTATGTGTGCATGTATGTAATGTACTTCAACCACGATCGCCCCCTAGTGCGTGCCCTCTCCTCCTCCTCTCCCCGACCCAGTCCCCTTTGACACTCAAATCCGTGATTATTATTATCGTTATTGTTGTCATCACCATCATTTTTGGTCTAGATGCCACATATGCATGAGAACATGCGATATTTGGCCCTTTGAGCTTGGCTTACCTCACCCAACATGACAATCTCTAGTTCCATCCATTTTCCTGCAAATGCCAGGCAGCACCAGATCAGGAGGACAGGTGGTCACTGAGCAGTCCACCTCCAGTACTAATCTGAATGCCCCTTTTCTACCTTGTTTTTGACTGAATAATACTCTGTGGTGTATATGTACCACACTTTCTTATCCTTTCGTCTGTTATTGGTCACCTAGGCTGATTCCATAGCTTGGCTATTGTGAACAGAGCTGCAATAATCACGGGTGTGCAGGTGTCTCTCTTGTACATTGACTTACACGTCTTTGGATGTATGCCCCAGAATGGCATAGCAGGGTCACAGGTAGGTCTACTTTTGTTGTCTGAGGAACCGCCATACTGAGTTCCATGGGTGGTTGCACTAGTTTATGTTCCCACCAACAGTGTGTGAGGGCTCCCTTTCCCTTCCCTGTCCTCACCAGCATATTGTGATAACCCCAGCCTTGCTCTTTTTGCTCAGGATTACTCTTGCTAGTCAGGGTCTTTTATATTTCCAAGTGAATTTTAGGATTATTTTTTCTATTTCTGTGAAGAATGACATTGGAATCTTGACGGGAATTGAGAATGTGTCTTAGTTCTTTTTCACATAATAACCCCGTCAGTATGTGGAGACAGCTGTTGAAGTCCTGTGAGCCAGCTCCTCACAGAGCCAGGTATCACCAGAGGTCATGCCAGACCCTGGTGTGGCCTTGTCTATTGACTGGCTCAGTTCCACTAAAGGGCATTGTAACTAGAAGAAGGAAAGGAAGCATTGACTTCGGCTGTGTTGCCCTGGGCTACACTGCCTGATGCCCCCAGATAAAAATGTTTAAACTGTTGTGTTGATAAGTACAAGAATTGAGTCTTTGAAAACACTAATATAGAGCTCTAGCGGGGTCAACAAGAAAAGACACAAATCTACCATAAATTACCGCAAATACCAACAAGTTGAAAAAAAAGCTAATGGGTGATGTCACAAACAGCTGTGGTCATAAGTTAGAAACTTATGTCTAGGGAAGGATAAATATCAAGACTCACTGAGGCAGAACTGTGCTGGTGTCTCACACCTGTCATCCCAGGCTAAGTGGGAGGCTGAGATCAGGAAGATGGTGGTTATGGCTTCCTGGCAAAAAGGGAGACCCTATCTCCAAAAATAGCCAGAGCAAAAAGACCTGAAGGCATGGCTTACATTGTAGAGCACTTGCCTAACAAGTGCAAAGCCCTGAGTTCAAGCCCCAGGATCTCAAAAACTTCACCAAAGCAGTAAGAAACTTCAGTAAACCAAGCATGGGTTGGTCTGGTCCCTGAGGCCCAGCTGTCACTATGGAATGGGGCACAGGGGAGAGTTGCTAGAGAATATCTGCGTAGGACAAGGAAGGGGTAAGGGGCAGCCCTGGGACCACGAGGCAGGTCTGCAGCTTGAAGGAACCCTACCTTCAGAGAGCAGCATGGTTCCAATCAAGAAATCACAGGTGCTTTTAAAAGTATACACAGTTCAAAAAGAAAAAGTGAACCAGTAATGCTGACAGCTGGATTGAGCCCAGAGACACCCTCAGCCCCAGGGACAGCTGAGGAGGGGTTAAGTGCCCACCTTTCTGAGTCTAGTCTATTTTGCTACAAGCATTAAAAAGCATACCTTTTGGCTCAGTGATGCCAATCCCTGGAATTTCTTTGCCAAAAATAGAATAAGAATGTGAACCAAGTGTACAATCCAGAGATAGTCTCATCAGCGGAATGCTGTCGTGGTAAGAGACGACATCTAGAAACGGCTCATGGAGCTAAAATCCCTCAGACCTTGTAGTAGTGACACTCTGGACTTCCTCTGTGTGTCATAAAATGTAAAATATGACCACGACGATCCAATTCTTATTCTTTTCCATATCCTTGCATCTTTCTACAATAAACATGCACCCATTGTCATTAAAATTGCAAGTCAGATAGATATTCAAAATTGCATCACAGGGGAAAGAGATATGAATCATAGCTTAGCTCATTTGTAGGTGTTAGAAGTGAAACTTGGCTAAAGAATAGTTAATTTGCAACACATTTCCCATCTATAAACTTATCAGTATGTGTCTGCATGTGTATTTATATCTCAGTAATCAAAACTTGAGACTTCTTTTTCCTTATCTTCGATTTGTAATAGTAGAAAGGCTCACAGATTGAAATGAAAAGCTCATTGTAATTTATAATTTTTAACCAATGCAGGATGGAGTGGTCTTGACATTATTCCTTTCATGTTTAGGTGTCACTTGCTAACACCGCATCACTTCTCCTCACCTTTAGAGAAAGTAAATGAAGTGCTACTTGTGAGATCCCACATCAGATCCCTTTGTTCTTGGTTCAAACATAAACATAACCATCTCAGCCATATTCTAGTTAGATCTTCTTGTATAAATACTCAATTTTCTGGACTATTAAGATTTGAATAACCTAAAAGATCTTGCCAGCAGCATTAAGTATAGACAAAACCTAATTTGGTCCCACCTTCAAGGCATGTCAATAAAATTTTCATCAATTTTATGGCAGAACATTTGAAATATGCCAAATAACCTGGTAAGCCCATGAGCTGTCCAATCGTTCGCATCCCACTGCAGCCCAGGTCCTGGGCAGCTCCACCGGCGGCTGACCTCTGTGGTCAGCACAGGGTTATTTTGGAGGAGAAAGGGGCTCCACTCCCTGTCCCAGCATCTGGAAGAACCTGCTCTCCTGGAGAAGGGCATGGTGTCACCTGGGTCTGCAGAGACTTGGACTGTGATGTCCAAGAGTCACTGCCTCAACAAGCACAGGAACTGACCTCAGAATAGTGAGTGTGATTCAGGAAATGTCTCCATTCCCCATTAATCTATGTAATTCAAAAACAAGTCAATGTTTATTTTTGGAAACTGGGAACCCCTGGGGACACCTCCCCATCTTTTGCTTTGTGTTTTAGGCATACTCCCAGGTCATTGGATCTAAGGCATCATCAATTATAAGATGCATTATTATTTTTAGGGTCCATTAGAAAAAAGATTGTGATGATTCTTTTGATGTCAACCCCGTGGGGTTGAGACACACCTACATTGGTACAGTCCACCTCTGGGCGAAGCTGTGAGGCGTTTCCAGAGAGGATTGCCTAAGGGGGAAAGACCTTCCCTGAATGTGAGTGGAATCATCCCATAGACTGGGGCCTGGAGAGAATAGAAGAGGGAAAGTGGAGAAAATCTCTCTGTGTGTGTCTCTGCCTCTCTGTCCATCTCCGTCTGTCTCTCTGCTTCCTGGCAGCCATGAGGTGAGTTCTTCCTCATCCTCCCCACCACAAGGGACCAAAACTTCTGATCCCCTGAGCCAAAATCAAGGAATCCTCCCTTTAGGTTGTTTTCCTCCGATCTGTCACAGCAACAGAGAAAATGACTGACACAGAGATGCTGGCAAATAAACCAGACCACCCTTGGCCGTTGCAGCTGCACCCCCAGCCCCGACTGCAGCTGCATCCCACTGTTCCAGGTGTGCATCTTAAATCTGGCAGAGAAGGGAAGGCTGTGTCTGTGTCATTAGCAAAAACGGAAAG